TATCATTTCATTTATAAACAATAGAAAAGCAAAATTATAATCTCTCAAATAATGTATTATATTATACTGTTTTTAGTACATAATGTTGTACATTTTGTTTTCAGTTTGAAAGTTTATCTTGAGGTGTTCAGATTGAGAAGCTTAGAGATTATGTTAAGGCTCTATGTCATAGTTAGAAAACCAGTTAAAATATAATAGTTATAGGATATTGTTTTCTCTGTGTTATTATTCTGTGTTCTAAGGTTCATTACTTAAGTAAATAAAATTTTATTTAGTGTACTAGTACCATCAGTATAAAAAATAGGCTTAAATTTCATTGGTAACAGACAGCAAAAAAATAAAAAATACAAGAGATCAAAAGTAAGTACAATATTTTTTGTTTTTCATATATATTTTTTGTTTATTGTTATAAAAGTAATTAAAATGTAAAAATTGAAACTTATTAGGTTAGATAAGGTACAATAATGAAATATAATAATTCTTCACAAGGTATGCTCATAAGTAGTTTGTGCATTACATCATTCAATACATTAACTTGAGCTATGTGTTCTCCAAGTTATTTACAATTTGTATGGCAAGGTTATTAGTTAGACACAGTTCAAATGGCAACTAAGTAATAAAATTCAGTAGAAACAGATGTAAACTGTTATGAGCTTTAAGCTATTTAGGCTAAACAAATGTAGTTCCTTGTTAGAATTTGCAATCATTCTAGAAAGAAAAAGGGTAATTTAGATTTATTTCATTTTTTTTTATGGGTGGTGGTTACAAGGTCGGTCAAATCAACTGAGTCCATATAAAGTTAGGGTAGAGAAAAAAATAGCATAATATAGTTATACTAAAAAAAACGTTTCATAGTTATTTAGGTTTTTAGAGATTACATAAATGAAATTTGAAAAGTTCTCAGATGAAGAAAAATATTTTTGATCATATCACAAAAAAAATTCATTTTCAGAGCAATCTTAATACACAGTCAAATTTTTGAATTACATTTTCTAACAAAAATGCCACCCAATGGGTGGCTGTTTGTCTAATCATAGTATTCATAACTCACTGAAAAAAGTTTAGAAAAAGTGAACATTTTCTAAAAAAGTATATTTTTCTGTGAAGTACTGTACAGAAAAAGCATTCAGATTGTGCTCTTTAGTCATATGCAACTCTTTGCATCATAAATTTTACTGATATGTTGTTATATATTAAAAGTGCTGGTTGTAAACTTGATTTTTGTTAGTGGCAAATATTTCCTTCAATAATTACCTAATTCATGGGTAAATCTTTTTTAAAACAGAAGTAATAATAAAAGAGAATCTACCTCTTAATTTCTGATAATCTAATCTTCTTAAATCAACTATACTTTGGCACACTGGGTTTTTTCATGTTTGATGTCAAGAATGCCATGTCCTCATTGGCTACAGTGATGACAGACAAATTCCACTTGCCATTCATTGATGTGACTGACATTCCCAAAAGCAATGCTCCTGTTTATTTACTTTTAACAGTCTAGCTTTTCCTAGGAATCTGCTCAATATGTCTACAAGAACATTCCTACTAGACTATTACAATGTATTTACACATTAGGAGATGAAGTGTCATTGATCATTCTGTCATTTTGAGATTTCCTAAGCTATCTATCAGCAATATTGATGAATTCCAACTCCACAGAAAATTAAAGAAGTTCTCTCTTAAAGTACTGCTTTGACCAGAACATTGGCTTAGAGCAGAAGTTCTTAAACCATGGGTTGCTATCCCAAAATGAGTTGCAATTGATTTTTAAGGGGATGTGAATACTTGTGTATTTTTAAAACAGACAACACTTTTGATTGCTAAAATAATAACTTTGCTTATACTGCTTTGTAATGCATGTTTTATTCATTAATAATTATGCAATAACACAGGGCAATGAAGTTTAAGAACCACTGGTTTAGAATTATGGCTAATGGAACAAAAATACACATAACACAAAATAATTCACACTTTCACTAAGGGCATCTTTTTCTGTGCATGTGACAAGGTTTTAGTGAGTTACATTTAAAATTTAATTACAATATCTTCTTATCATGGTATATGAAAAGTATAGAAAAAAATATAGCTGATTCTCCAACTTTTAATAGTATATGTTTTAAGCTCTTAACTTTATAAAGCAACATTTAAAAAAAAATCATAAATTTCAACTAGTATGAGAATTGAGATAGTCGCTCTCTAGGTATCCCCTTTTCTCTAATTTATTTACCATCCCTCCAAGAAGTATGAAATTTGATATAAATTTATCATTATAATGTTGTCATCACTCAAGCAAAGAACATTATTTTTTCACAGAGCCATAAAATAAAAAATCATACCCCTCTTGCCACAACCACTTATCACAATGTCTCTTTCATGCAGTACATGTTGTGCTAAAAGGGGACCCAAGCATAAGAGACGTGCTCCAATGAAGTTATATCAAGTTGGCGCACCAATGGAAAGAGTAGCTGTTGACATTGCTGGTCCTCTGCCCCAAACTCATGCTGGAAACAAGTACATTTGTGTGGTGATGGATTATTTCACCAAGTGACCTGAGGCACATGCAATACCAATTCAGGAAGCTACAACTGTAGCTTCGGCTATTAGTGATTTCTTCTTCAGATTTGGTATGCCATACGAACTGCATTCAGATCAAGGCCGTAACTTCGAATTAGCTGTTTCCAAGAATGCTGCAAGTTGTTTGGCATCCGAAAGACCAGGACAATGCCACTTCACCCACATTCCCATGGGATGGCATATAAGTACAACTGGACACTGGGACAGGAATTGGCAAAGTTTTGTAATAGCCGCCAAGATACTG